CATTAGGAGGTGAGGGTCTTTCGGAAGTGATTAGATCACAAAGGTGAAGTTCTCATCAATGGGATTAGTTCCCTTACAAAACAGGCCCAAGAGAGCTGCTTTGCTCCTTATACCATATGAGAACACAGCTATAAAGGAGCATCCATGAGCCAGGAAGTGAGACCTCACCAGACATTGAATCTGCCAATGTCTTGATCTTGAAATTCCCAACCTCCAGACTGTGAGAAACAAATGTCTGTTGTTTAAAAGCTACCCAGTTTATGGAATTTTGTCATAGCAGCCTAACAGACTAACACCTTCCCCTACCCAGTTTAGAAATCTGTACTGCTTATACTTACAGAATATACATATTTATTTGTACTTATTTATTTATATAAATATATAATATATATAACAATATTTATATACATATAAATAAATATATACACAATGTTTTTCTGTACCTTTGGATGTTCCGAATGTGTTATTTATATAGTTGATTGGCACTAATAATGAATAATATATAATAATAATAAAATATAATATTTGGCATATAACCTAATAATAGAAACTCAGACTTAGCAGTAATAACATAAAAATGGACAGATGGATTTATTTTTTAAAAAAGAATGCTATTCACCTCCTTAACCCATTATGTGAATATATAATTTTTATACAGTATTAACCTCTAACGTAATGGGAAAAAAATTATCAGCAACCATATATATACCAAATCAAAGCGACCTTTGTGACTAACTGAATGAGGTGGTGTAAATGGGCAGTCGTTATGCTGTAATGGACAAAAGCCTGGAATCTAGAACTTGTTTGCCTGGATTTAAGCTTAATAAATAAAAAAATATATAAATAAAGTTTATTCAAATATATACATATATTGCTTATACAATTGCATATATAGTGTATTACAGTTTTTCAAAAGTAATAAGACCAGTTTACTTCTGGGGGAACTCTGGTTTATTTGGGCTTCAACAGGACTGTTTTAGCAAGACATACTGAAAAACATTTTTTTTCATTGAGTCTGAGAACGAGTCATGATTTCTTGCTTGTCTATGTGCAAATATTTTCTAAAAACTATGAATTTAAGAAATCCAGCATTTAAGTCTGATAGGTTGCAACCATACTCATTCTTTTAAAAGTGAGTGATTGATATGCTTTTCAGCGTGTTAATTTTGAGCCATGACAGTTGTTATGGTTTGGCTGTGTCCCCACCCAAAATCTCATCTTGAATTGTAATGCCCGGAATCTCCATGTGTCAGGGGCACTGTAAATGGACAGCCAGTATGTGGTAATGAACAAAAGCCTGGAATCTAGCCCTTGTTTGCCTGGATTTAAGCTTCACCTCTGCCACTATTAGGTGTATGACCTCAGGCACAATGCAAAGACTCTCTGTGTGTTGGTTTCCTTATTAGTATCTTGGAGGTAATAACCATACCTACCTCACTAAATGAAATAGTACCTTAAAAAACACTTAGAATAAGACCAGGAGTTATAACTGCTTAAAGACACGAAGAGAAGGAGAGATTTACAACAGATATGTTCGGTATATTCATTAAAAACTGAAAGAAATAAGTCCTCCTGTTATAAACTTTTCACTCCTTTGATTTGTAGTGCAACTCCATGAAGACCAGTTAGCAGCAGCTGTACCTTTGCAAGTTGTGATTGGGAACTGCACTCAGCACCCGTCTCACCTCAGCACCGACCTCTTGCCTTGGCCCCGTTTTCTGACTCCACCTCCAGGTGTTTCTCATCATTACTTTTTCAGTCGGGACACAGGTAATTAATTTAAGATTCTATCCGAGGTTTATTACATAGCATTCAAATTAGAGAGACTCAGTAGAGGCTGCTAGTATAACAGAAGCTGTTAGCATAAAACGTTTGCTGCTTGTTATTTACTGGGGTGACAACACAGGCATGAGGAAAACTTAGAATTTCCCAGTTCACACATTTTCCTAGTATGTCCTTTTGAACAAATTTCCTTTTCTGGTCTTTATGCAAAAAAGTAAATAAGTAACAAGCATGGGTATAGTTAATACATTATAAAACGAAGGAGATTTTTTGCTGTGAAAAACTGTATTAATGGGACAAATTAACAGTGTTTGATACTGAATAAATATATTATGAATAAGTATACTGGATAATATATCAAATTTTAATTTTATTTTTACAATTAGTAAAACAAAATATTTTTAAATTATTGGTGAAATTCCGTCTATGTAATTGAATATGTCAAGTGTTAATATATATGTTTTACATCGTGTTGAAAATAGATAATCAGTTCTACAAAGAAAGCTTCCAGAGTACCATAGAGGTCATCTGGGATAAGAAAAACGTTTCTGAAAATTGAGGTGTCAGTTTTAGCTGGACAATTGCCTAGAATTTTCCTGAGACCTAAGATCGGCTCAGATATGTGAAGGCTAGATGATAAAATCGTACTCATCAGAGAACATATGGCAATGTGACCTTAATTTTTATTTTCCAAAAGCATGAGGACAGGGGAAAGCAGATAGGCATGTCAAGGGTGAAGCTTTTCATCTTGTATTGTTAGAGGTGACAATCTGCTTGTAATTTAATTTTTGTTTCTTAGTATAAAATCGCAACTATGGACATCAGATCTTAGATATTAACAATATGTTTGAAATACTATCTGTTAGTGCTATTAATATGTTTTGTTTTCTTCTATGTAATTCTAAAATAATATAGTATATTTTTCTCTATTACCTACAAAATGAACAAAACCAACTCCTTTTTTTCAACAGATTTTTTCTTGAAATATCTATACCTAGGGAACATTGCCACAAAAAAAAGTTGGTTACTACTTAACTTTCCAGCAGTTTTCCCCCAAATAAATACTGTAGAATGAATTTTCATCAGAGTACCTCATACATAATATATAAGTTGAACAATTAATTTCTTTCTTTGGCAATAGAAAATTACCCTGGGAGGGTCAGGGTGAGGAGGCAGTAAGTAACACAAAGATAATTATTGCCCTGAATTAATTCACTTTCTTCTCTCTTCTTCTCCATATTAATTCTGGTACTTGAGTAAAAGAGGCCTCATGTGTGTTCTGCACATGTACCCCAGAACTTAAAGTACAATCATAATAATAAAAAATAGGCTCTGAAAAAAAGAGATAGGTCTATAAACCTTACTAAAGGAAAAATTAATAATATAATGATTCTTGTTTTTACAATAATGACAACTGGTAAAAAATGTTAAGTGTTTGCTATACATTTGGTAAAATTCTACATTCCTTAATGTTATTTAAGTTACTTTCTACAATAATCCTATGACTTATGTAGTGTTAATATGCCCATCGTACAGATGAAGGTATCAAGGGAAAAGATTCTAAATAACTTATTCAGGGTTACACAGCAAGTAATGTCAGCAACAAAAAAATTAATTAAAATGAAGTGCATAGGCTACTTGCTTACTTTCACTAGCATACCAACTAGGTAATATTACGGAAATGTTTGACTTTACCACGTGTGAATACTATACATCAACTTTTCTCCCTTTTATAGACAAAACATTGTACTGATTTCTGCATCCATATAATCCTAAAAATATTGTAGTGTTAATGCCCAGCCTTATTTGTAGCTGAGATAAATCACTTAGCATTGTGGAAATCAATAGGAAATATATTTTAAATATTAAAATGAATAAATGCAAAGGAACTGCATGAAATAAATCTGTGTAAATTATTTTAATATGCTTTCAGCTGTTGTAAGGACACTATAAATTATATTTACTTTTCCTATTTTACTTATGGTTTATATTTTAAAAAGTGAATTTCAAATTATTTAAACTACATGAAATACCAAATTGATTTACTATGTTTCTAGCCTATTAGTATGTAATTTGGTGGGAATCATCATGAAAATGGATTCTTTTATTTAGTCGGAGACATATTTGCATTGGTTTTGCTGATGCCCACCTTGGCCAAATATCAAACAGTTTCCACAGCTTCTTGTCACTTTAAAATATCTTTTAAAATCTATTCTATTTACAAAAGACCTTTCTCACATCTAGTATATGATCTATCTCCTAACCTTTCCCAGAGGAGCAGACCTCTGCTGCTTCTGATTCTCTGAGGTCTGGGAAGGAAGGTAGAGAAACAAAGCCACAGTAAATATTCTGGTGCCATCATAACCTCACAGCCAGTGACCACTGTGACCACAGGCATCTGAAGGCTGGTCCTCTATCATGGGGTACATGCATGAACGATTCGGGGACACAGCTCAAAGACGTGCAAACTCTGTTATTCCTTCACCTGTGTGATGTATTATTTGGATGACTATCTTAAGCTCCCTCTCACCCCATCTGTGCACAATTTCTACAGCTGTAGTCCCTTAAACTACGGAAAACTCGTTCAGCTTCACCCTATCAAAGGCTGGGAACGGCACATCCCAGTTTTTCCTCTCCTGCTTCTGGTATTTCAGATGGATTGGCCAGCCAATTCCCAGAACTCTCTAGGAATAAAAGGGCAGCAAAAGTTTCTAATAGGTCTCAAGGAACTACTTGTGACTGAGATGCTAGTCTCTCTTCTTTCAGGAAATCACAATTTCCATAGGTAGACAGATTAGAATATGTAAAAAGTCACATATTCATTTCCTCCATTTATCTGTTAACTTAGCCTCCCTATCTTTCTTTTGCTATCAAGTACCAAAGAATATACAAGGTCTTAAAGCCACCTTGCAGGTTTTGAGTAGCCTGAGAGCTCTGTTATGCATCTGTTACCAAGTTCTACTTTAAAATATAAAGTAGGATTTTTATGCATGATGCATAATTTCATATTTCTTACACTTTGTGAAAATTTATTCATATGAGACTTTCTATGGCCATCCTTAAATAACCTGTTTTGGTTGAACAGTATAACTTCATCAACTGTTTTTTCCTCCAGGTGTATCAATGAGTTCAAGCAAGATAAATGCCAAAGTTATGTAATTTTTAGAAAGATTTTGAAAAATCTTTACTGTATCCAGTAACTACTCAGCACTAACCCATTTTGAAAAACACATTAATTCCATATTAATAACGTATAAAAATAATCAATGGAAACCAAAAGAACTTCTACAAATGACTAAGTAAAATAGATTGGATTCATTATTACATTCATTCCAGAAATATTTATTGGTCACTTTCTATGTGGTATAAACATTTTGGAAAATGAGAAAGGAACAAAACTGACAATTCCTTGCCCACTGAAGTTTATATTTGAATAATGAATAAAGACAACAGTAATACCAGGTAGCTGAGTAATTTAATACAAAGCAAGACAAAGCCAGGGTCACTGGAAGCAGCAGTGGTCTTTCTGAGGAAGTTGCAGCTGATCACACACCTGAATGAAGTGAAGTAATAGAAGTGTCTGAAGGAAGACTGCTTTAGTAACTGAGGTGGAGAGAGGAAAGGGGAGAAACTGCAGAAGTAAGTAGGGGTGGGAAAGTTCATGACTTATGCGGAAGGTGAGGAAGTTAACTTTTATTGTCATTGTGCTGTGAAGCTGTGGAGATCACCCAGAGTTGGGAAAGAAACAGACCACGTGTTCCAACAGAATAACATCAGGTGTTGTTATAATAATCCACTGTTGTTTATTGAGCAGTTACATTTTGTCAGGCAGTGTTGGTGCTGCTGGTTTTACATTATCTTATTATTAATTCTTCATAACAACCATGTGAAATAGGTTGATTGAACCTCATTTTACAGATTACAAAGTGAGGTCTGGAAAGATTATGCAGTTTAGCACATATTATACGTTTGTTTAATTGAAAGCAACTAATTTAAACACAGGTCTGTTAGGCTCATGCACAAGCACTGGTCTTAACTTTCTTATTTTTACCATTAACAATTTAAAACTTACATACAAAGCTGTGAGTCAACTGAGGGGGATAATTAAGTACTGTGGGTATTACTGGGAAGCTAGGTTATTTTCATAAGTATTTTGCATTAATTTAGACTTTATTACAATTTACAAAGGTAAATTCTTAGTGTAATGCCCTTAGCTTAAGAGCTGTGTTCTTGCAACACTCATGTGACTGGAAAAAACATAAAATAGTTCTTGAAAATATTACAAGGTATAATTTCTAGAAAGTTGCAACTTCTCTACTAAAATCAGATAGTATCTTTTGATGTGGTTAAAAGGAACATATTTTAGACTACCAAACAGATGTGCAATTGTGTCTGTGCTTTTCCTGTGTATCTTATGATTGACAATCTTATCATCAACTCAACCAGGATCTAGATTAATATATATTTTTTCTGCCACTGGACACAAATGTTAAAACTATTTGTATAGGTATTCCATTAATATGCATTTTAATGAGTTGTTCATCCAAATTTATTCATTGTTTATAAGGTTTTTATTCAAACAAAATTTCTGTGATCCCCAGAAAGTCTTATTTCGTTTTACTAGTCTATTTTCCATGGATTCCTCCATCTGTTGTATATCATACTTTCTAGTTTTCTACCAATATTATTTAGCATTCTTTTTTACATTTTCAATTTTCATGTCAATATCATAGAAATTTAAATGTTCTTTCAGTTTGTACATTTCTATTTGACTTGCAAATTTTTGCTCTTTGAAATTTTCTCTTGTTTGGTATTTTTACTCTTTCCAAAGTAAATAATGATATCAATGCATAAGGGTTAACTACATCTTATGTCTTCACATATACTTTTAAAATCTTCCTAAATTATTTTACTTGAAATCTGATTTTCTCATGCTTTTGTGAAGTAATCATATTTGTGTCACCAACCTAATGATGCCTGTTTCATATTGATGAAAAACTTTCTTTATCATGTGATATAGATATTTAAATTTCAAAGTACCAAAAACAAATATTATAACCATGTAACTACTCCATCCATAGTTCAAAATTACTCAAATTATTTGATTTAAACACATATGGCCAATTTGGTTCAGCTCAGTTTCACATGCTATTAATAAAAAATAATCATATGAATCAATTTTAAGAACTTTGTATTCACTACTTTCTTCTTGTTCAAACTATAAATTTTGAAGTCCACCTTGATTTGGATATAATAAAGATCATTCTTAAAAGGTCAATTACAATTAAAGTGTTTTATTCTTGTTATCTAATGTTACCATAAAGCTTTATGCCCAACAGCTTAGCATTACTTTCCTTCTTAAGGCTACAATAAACAAACTATTGCATCTAATTTTGTATTCAGAAATGTAAAAAATGACACTGAAGCATCAGTCATTCTAAGCTCTTAACAGAAAAGGAAATACTGAGAATTGAGTGATGTTTTATTCTGTGACGGGTAACAGTCAATTCAGTTGATCACATTAGAGTTAATAGTAATTGAAGTATGAATCCAGTATTCCTTTAACTTGTCTAAATCATTTTTAGTACGTATAAAATGTCACCTCAGATTTTCCACACTTTCCACCAATTTCATAAATTTTGCATTTAATTATGAGTAAATATTGACTTGTATTGTGCCATTTTATTTTGACATGATAAGAATGTGTTTTGAGTTGCATATGAAGATAATCTATGACAAGTCCTAAATATATTTTCTCTTTTTATACAAAGTTGTAATATAAAAAAATACAAATTTATACTATATAACTCTGATTAATTAATATATACCAAGTATCTGTTCAAATCTGAAATCAGTTTTCAAGAGTGCTCTTGGCAAAGGTTTTAAAATATCAAACTAGAATGAACCATGGAATTTTAGCCAGAAATCTGCTTTTCATATAAGTTAAATGCTTTTAAACATGTAATCACCCACATTATCCTAGGTGTTAAAGTTTATCTCCACATCAAGAATTTAGCCACATAAATATTTTATTCTTACACTGTGAAAGAAGAAAATTGGGTAAATAAAATAACACTAAGATAACTCAATCCAGTGCCTTTCTCACATTTACCATTTAAAAATTTTGAACATTTGCATTAGATGACATTGAAAAATAATAGAGGAATATTTTAGTCATATGCTAGAGCTGGCTTGTATTGATGCGTGTGAGTTGATTGTTTACATCTCTTCCCACATTTCTGTTCAACGACAGCATGTAGGTAGCTTAAAATAGCCATTGGGTATTTACTCCAGGGAAATCACAAAACTCTGTAGACTAGGGCTTTCCCAGCCAAAACGCCAAGACACAAAACGCTTTACCAAGACTACCATTTCGTTCGAATACAGATTAGCACTTTAAAAATTTTTGATGTTAAAAAGCCCTAATTATTTGACTGCACTGCAGAACCAAACATGCATGCTAATCTTTTAAAGCGAGGTCCCAACTCGTTAAGGTAATCATAGCTTTCATCCTGATCAGAGACTGCTGATTCTAAGGAGCTCAGGGATCCAGCTAATGACCCTGTTCCCTCAAAAGCGTAGGTCTGGAGAGAATCAAAAGGAGGAGCACACGGATCAGTATTAGCTTCTTCGAGCTTTTCCAGAATGAACTTCCTGAATATGGCACTGTCGGGGCCAACTTGCAAAGACTGCCGGTATAGGCTCCTGATCTCGGCGCTGGTGGTTTTCCCAGCCTTGCGTTCCCGCATTACGGTACCACTCCTCAGCTCTGCTATATCGAAGGCCTCTGTATCTTCTTCTCCACCCCCTTCATCATCGTATTGGAATATATTCTCTCTGAAATCTTCACTTTTCTCAGGAAATAGAATCTGTTTCCTTCGTTGTTTTAAGCCCAAAGTCAAAAAAATAAACCCTGATGAAGAAAGCATATCAGAATATCAATAAACAGTAAAGAATATTATAAACTTTACAGTCTTTGCTTTCATTTCAACCTCAAGATGAGTGCTTAAACTTTATGATTATAAGGCAAAATAATACAATTGTTTTTGAAAATTTGCCAAAGGGATTTGCAAAATGACAAAAGAAAGTATCACAATTTTTCTGGCTGACGACTTAGAGACAAAGAAAACCATAAAACTACAGTGAACTATTTTAAATGATGAACAATTTAACATTCAAAATCTATTTTTCTCACATATTAAAATAGAATAAAGTAGAATAATAAAAGTTTGCAACCTGAATGCATTTGTCAACTTTAGTAGCCAATGTTTCATATTAATAGTAGCTCAGAACAACATACCAGTTTGAGATTCCTTACTGAAGCAAAATTCCATGGCGTAATTATTTTCTAAATTAATATGTATTAACTATAAAGTATACATCAGGCATTGTTCTAAAAGCTTTATATTTATTGGTTGATTTTATCCTTGTGAAAGCCATTATGTTACTATTTCCGATTATAGATGAGAAAAGCACACAGATGTTAAATGACATCCCTAGAAAGACACAGCTAGTTAAGAGATACAATGAGATACTGCTCAGCCACCAGTAGTGAAGTCCTGTCATTGACAGCAACATGGATGAACATGCCAGACATCATATTAAGTAAAATAAGCTAGGCACAGAAAGACAAGCACTGCATGATCTCACTTATATGTGGAATCTAAAAAAGTTGATTTCACACAAGTAGAAAATACACAGGTAGGTACCAAGGCTTGGAAAGGGGTCAGGGGAGTGGAGATGAAAAGAGGTTTTTCAGTTGGTACAAAGTACAGTGGGAGAGGAGGAACAAGTTCTGGTGTTCTATTACACCACAGGGTGACTATAGCTAATAATAATTTATTTCAAAATAGGTAGAAGAGATAAATTTAAATGTTATCACCACAAAGTAAAGATAAATGTTTTAAGTGATTAATATGCTAATTATGCTGACAAGCATATGTACAGGTATTGAAACACCACACTGTACCCCATAAATATGTTCAATTTGTATCAATTATAAAGACAATACAAAAATAGGCAAAATTAGAAAGTTGTTTTAGAGCCTGTGCTCTACGGTATCACATAAATTTCAGAAATTCAAAACTATCATGCATTTGAATCATAACACGTTTGTCTAGAATTAATATTTATTACATAAGATAATTTTAACATCATGCAGAACAGAAAAAATTCAGAACACTTTGTTTTAATTTTAAATAAAAATATGTGTGTGTGGGGGTGTGTGTGTATATGCATGTGCGTCTTTGTATGTGGGTTTCAAGGATAATCAAGACCCAATCTAGGATCTTGTGTAGCTGTTCAGAGTTTTACATGTAGGATTTGAAACAAACATGAAGTCATGTTATGAATAGTATCATAAAGAGAAATATGTTAGTCATAAAATATTTATATAAAACTTGCATTTAAAATATCTAAAACAGGGTTCCTTAAGTAAATAAGGTCACCATGTTTTATTCAGGTATTGTGCTTTATTTGCATGATACATATATGGTTGAAATACAGAGGAGTCTAATAAATACTATTCTATCTGAATTCGAGATAAATATTTACAAAAATGCAAAGGAAATCTTTATTATAATAGTTGACCCATAACTCCCACCTGCTATATTTTACCCACGTTTTTAACTGGGAATCTGCCCCTTGTTTGTAGGTTTCCTGGGCTTGGTTTAAGTCTGTAACTATAGGTAGCTCAGTATTTGTAGTCCCCCCAAATTATGTTTTTACTACTGATCTTTGCTTCTGGTATCTAGCTATGAAGCTACGAATTCAGCTTTATAATCAAAGATCATTAAAAATAATTTTAAAAACTGAAGCTGGGTCCAAAAGAAGCATAAAGGTAGGTGGTAAGTGAGGAATGGATGGGGTTTGAAGCCTTGAGAAAGACAAGTTGAATGAAGACAAGGCAGGTCCTGAAACATACCCCATGCTAATTTGAGTGGTCAGATTGGCATTTCAGAAGCAGGGTCTGATACATCTGCTCTCACTATTCAATGTAATTTCATTGGCTTTTGGTTTGAAATTTTGAGGGAGGCAAGAGCAGGGTTTAGATTATATATTTTGGTGTTCAAAAAAGGAAAAGTTTATGCTAGATAATTTATAGTCCTGAAAGCCCGATTAAGACCTTTTGGAGTTCAGCTGCCTCATCTTTGAAATGAATATAAATTATCTGCTTATAAAATCAATTATAGCAGTGGAATAAAACAAGCAAACAAAAATTAATAGAGCTCTTTTACTGGAATTTCTTTCTGTTTAGTACTTTGACTTAAAAAGGCGTTCTCTTTTACCTTCCTCATGTCTAACATTTACTGTTCTTTCTGTACACAAATGATTTTAGAATTATTTTTAGTTTTAATTGACAAATAAAAACATATGCATTGAGAGTATACAATGTGGTATTTGATATATGTAAACATTGTGGAATGATTAAACCAATTTAATATATTCATCACCTTACATACTGATAAATAAAATTGTTGAAGTGATATAGATATCCACCCTTCCATGTCCTTTACAGCATTATTCACAATAGCCAAGATATGGAATGGATGGAACCTAAGTTTCCATCAGTGAATGAGTGGATAAGGAAAATGTAGTATATAGACACAATGAATGCTATTTAGCCTTAAGCAAGAAAGAAGTTCTGTCATTTGCAACAACATAGATAAAACTAGATAACATTATACTAAGTGAAAGAAGCCAGGCATGGAAAGACAAACACTGCAAGACCTCACGTTGTGAAATCTAAAACAACAACAACAAAACTGCATATAAGCAGAGAGTAGAATGGTACCAGCAGGATAGAGGGTAAGAGAATTAAGAGACGTTGGTCAAAGGACACAAAATTTCAGTTAGACATTAGAAATAAATTCAAGAGATCTATTTTACAGCGTGGTAACTATAGTTAATAATAATGTATTTTATGTTTGAAAATTGCTAAGATAGTAGATTTTACTGTGCTTTATTATTATTTATTTTAATGCACCTTGGGCTCTAGTCAGTTGCAGTACAATGTTGCATAGCAGTGTGTTGTGGTCATGGAATCTTAGCACATAATTTGCTAGTTTCATGACCCTTCATAAAGCGCATAGCTTCTTGAGTTTCTGTTTCTTAATGTATAAAATGTACGTGATAATAGTTACTACTTTAAGGCTATTGTGTGGGTCAAATTGCATAGTGCATATAAAACACTGAAGAGTGTCTCCTGGAGTATAATAAGACTCAAGAGAAGCTCTCCATTATTTGTACTAATTTTTATTATTTTATATTGTTACATTGTATATGTGTCAAGAACATGCATAAACAGATGTGTACACACACACACACTCACATCCTCATACAATTCAAAGATCACTGGTTTGCAGCTTACCTATATTTATCTACTTATTTACTCCAGTTGGTTTAGGAATTGTACTACATTCAGAGAAGCAATAAACATACACACAAACTGACATTCTAATGCTGTCATAGAATTTACTATTTTATATATTTATCAGGTTATTTTAAATAAATTAATATATATTCAGTTCAGCACTACCTACCAAATATTATCATAATGCAAATGAGAACAGCAATTATGACTTCCGTCTTGAATCCCATGGAAAGCATAAGTTCCTGGTACTGGCAGGTCTGTGTGCTCCCAGTGTCATCACAGTCACAGACATGGACAGTAAGGGTGTTTGTACTTGTAAGTGACGGGGTTCCATTGTCGGCAATTAAGATGGAGATGTAGAAGACAGGCTCTCCTTGTAGGTTAAAACCAGTTCTATTAGTCAAAATGACAGCTGTGTTATCTAAAACAAAAATCCATGTGCGTAATTTTTTCAACTACATAAGGGAAATTTGTATGTAATCGTCACATATACTGGAGACAATAGTATAGAGATAGGATCGAGTAAGTTCAAAGAAAAGGACGGGAAATTTCTAATGAGAAGACAACTAAAACATCCACACTAAATTATTAGTGTTTTGACATTACCTAAACCCTAACTATGTAATCAGATGAATCATCTAAATTATGTAGTAAAATTACTATTTAATGTTATTAAATATTTAATTAATATTACTTATTTAATTATTTAAAATATTTATATTATTATTGAATTACTTAAATCAGTTCTAAAATGTCTTTGACAAATATATAAAACCTATATGTAACACAGAAAGCAACTTTTTAATCAGATATCCATAATTGATAGGGACTACCAATATTAAATGTATGCTGATAGGGCTGACTTTATTTGTGTTAATTACACATGACAGTTTATTTTCTAATACTTGGGACCCATTATTTATACAAATCCAGTAAATATACAAGATTTTCGAAGTTATCAAAGCACATGATCTGAAATAATACATTTTCTAGTTAAACACAATAATTTCACTTGGTAGACAATATCCTGTTAGAATATTTCATATCATTTTGATGTTATTAATCTATTTTGTATTTAAAATTCTGAAATCATTACACTTAGTCAGACTGATTTATTTACCTAGAGAGTCCATTCAAAAAATTCATGAAAACAATAAACACTTCAACACATGTACAATTACTCTTCTGTGAATCCCAAAATATTATAAATGACTTTATTTGTTGTAATTTCTTGTGCCTCAGAACTGTACTTTCTCTTTACTATTTTTTTGCCATGCCTCAAAATATTTTCTGTCATCATCAGACAAACTTTAGAACACAATAGCAATAAAAGAAAAATAAATAAAAGCCTTTTGAAATTCATGCTTAAGTAGGACATTTCCCAAATCATTTTTTAAAAGACTTTTCACTATCAAGCTCTGAAAGTCTATGAAGCCCATGTGATTTTATTTGCCAGGCAGATCTAACAGGTGAGAGACAGTTGACACTTTTTAATATGTATTTTATTAAATTACTTGTGACCACAAACATTAAGCCAAATCAATTTTGTATGCTTCAATATATTTATTTTGCCTCCATTATTTATTTTATATTAATATAAATGAGTCTTAGCTGGAGTTTTAAAATATACTATATATGTAACATACATATGTATACATACATGTTTTTTAAAACTCCAGTTTAGATTTATTTATATTAATATATGTATTTAAAACATAATAAAAAATTTTTTTTCAAAAAATACATATATATATTTAAAAAAATACATGTACCCTCTGAATCTAAGCATTTTTACATGGCTAAATTTTGTGGAAAACGTTTGGAAATTTCTCAGAGAGCTTGAAACAGATATTTGTGACTTTTGTCTGAAATATTTTTGAGTTTTCCCCCCAGAGGAATTTGACAAGGGGAAAACAGACAGAATAGTGTTGCATCTACTCTCACATGAAAGATCTCTTCTGGAACAAAGCTTAACCTCAGTTGTAAGGAAAACTACAGGTATTTGGTTGCTGATACTTGAGTAATAAATCCAACTGTGTTTCATAACTTTGAGGTATAAATAAATTAAAATAGAAGTCCTTATAATGACAGAAATGCTTCTTACTGAAGCTAATGAAAAAAGAGCAGAGTGGCTTCGTGTAAAGTTAATCCATCTCTACAAAAAGAGAAAATAAATTCTGCTCTTGCAAATATTCTTTGGAACATTTTATCCTTAGATTGATAAAAATTATTTAGTTTTGAAGGAGGAAGAACTGTCTTAACCCAATTTTATATAATCTAAGCTCCTAATTAATGACCCTAAATATTTCTGAATCAATCATGCTAACATGACTGCAACTAAGGTAATTATCATTTCCTTCCTCAGTCATAGATTGAGGTCTCAGTTAGACGAGAATATGAAAGGAGCCTTGGTGTCAGAACTGCAATTGTATTTGCAGAGTCATTCTGACTTTACAAGAGCTCACAGCCATTGAAAATTTTAAAAGCTCCTTCTACTTTGAAGAAATGTAGTGAGAAATGGAGCCAATATTTTAGAACTTAATATTGGATTTTGTTTTCCATTTTCATTGTTACTCTTTTGCTTATTTCCAAACATTATTATGTTGCAAGAACAGTATAAAAATCAATGCAGTAAATTCCTCTGAAGTCAAACATGAGTCAAAAAACTGTATCAAAACTCATTATGAGCAAATGACATTACCTTGATTATCTATGATTGTAAAACTTGAATTGTTAGTGTCTTCTACAGATAGTTTATAGTAAAAATGGTGCTCTTCTATGGATTCATCTCTATCCACTGCACTGATAGTCTGAATTACCTAAAAAAAAGAAAAAAAGAAAGGATAGATTTTTGTTGTTGTTTGGATTCAGGAAAAAGATAACCGCCTTTATTATTACTAGCTTTTATTTACATTGCTTTATCTCAATCAATACGGACACGGCAGAAAATAACTGTCAAATATTGGAGAACATTAAAATATTTTCTCAGGCTAAAAGTATGTTCACTTGCCTCTTAGGGTGTTATAATATTATATAATAAACAAATTCTTGTTGATAGATCAGCTGATTTCCAAAAAGTACGTTTGTTAGAAGTTGCCAAAGCATTGCTTCTGTATTATTTACACCCTCCCTGCCTACATTTCTCTCTTTCTTTCTCCTTTACTTTTTCTTTAACTGAATGTCAGACATTATGATTTGCTAAACTTGTGTATTTCCTGTTTTTACTGAGAGCAAAACTGTGGTAGAGTTATCAGCTTACTAAACCCTTTGCTAAAGTAATGAGATTTTTAATTGATTTGAGGAAATAACACATTTAAAATGTAGGGGCAAAATACATAATTTCCTTTGACCCATAATGATTATAGGAAAGTGTTTCACATCAAATAAGTTCATCTCTATATCTCAGATAATAAAACAGTGAAGTAATGCAGATATAAACAAATTCATTCTCAATTAATTTTCTTCTTTCAAGACATGAATGTGTCAGTCAAACAGTTTATTATTGTTGAAAAAGATATGTTGTCAAGATCACATAGTGAGATTGTGATTAATTCTGGAAATTAAAGTAAATTGATTATAGAAGTTATTGTTTTGAATTTTCTAGAATTAAAATGCTTTTAACAATATGTCAGACAAAAATAGACTCAGATGCTAGATGACAAACCCAGATTTATGTTATACTTCAAAAAAATAGATTATGTCTTCAGGAGCATAAAGAACATTAGGAAATAATATGATCTGTATATTACTTTTTTAGATTGATTTAATTTTAACTCGCATTACTAATAAAATAATATTCATTTAGTGTTAAGTAATCTAACAAAACATATTTTATTCAATCCATGCTTATAATTATACATGTGGATATTGATTTGTATTAAGGTAAAGCCTTTATTTTGGAGTAGCATAGAATTTTGTCAAGGCTGGGTAAAAAGCAGGGGCTTGGAAACCCAAAATTCCGAATCCTGGCTTTGCCATTTACAAGTTTTTAACCTTGAAAAAAAGAATACGAATACTTAACCTGCAGGGTTCCTTTTCAGGGTTATAGGCCTCGGGTTCTCAAAGAGTTTGTCACGTGACAAACCATTATGTGTTTCTATGTCTATTATGTATTCCTCATGAAAATATTCTCTTGTTGAGGTTTTGCATACCACTGTGTCCTGAATATTGTTAGTAATATGCATATGAATATCTTTATATGCATATTTGCTGAAGTAAGATTGATAGCAAAGTATAGAATTTCTGTTTATCTTGCTGGCATATGTGGTTACAGTGTTCAGATAAGGAATATTTTATTTCACTGCCTGATGTTCTGTATCAAACATGAGCATCTGACTAAATGTTGCAGATGTCTCCTTTTGGGGAATAAAGGCTTAAGAAGACTAGAGATACACTATATGTGTTTCAAAAGACTTTTATTGAATCAAAATACCTTATACATAAGTACAGGAAACTGAATGAGCAGGGCTTCAACAGTCTGCCCCCTTTTTAATGAACATGTCTCCACTTATATTTGCTCTGTAAGTTGGGCTTCCAATAAGATATGTTTTACCAGCTTTCATAATTGTTTTACAGAAATAGGAAGCCACTGACATAGTATCAGTCATATATCAAATATTATGAATTTTATTGAATTTATCTTAAACAGATGCACTTAAAAATATATGCATATCTCTAATAAAGGGACTGCATTAATGTATTCATAAATCTTGACAGAGGATATTTATTTTTCCTTTAAATATAACAATGAAAAGGTTTTAATTTTAATTTTAAATTAAAATTCTAAGAAAAACATTTATTTGTTGCATTGGTTGCTGTTTACTTACATGTCTTTATCTGGGACCTATCGCTGGCCTTACAAATTTATGAAAGGGATAAAGATAAATTAAAAGATAAAAGTATATACCAAGAACAGCCATGGCTTTAGAGATTGGGAAAAGAGGAAATGAAAATAACTCCAAATTATGAAAAATTCTGAAAGCTCAGATTTTTAATTATCTTTTTGCTCTCTAGGAAGAATTTTGGCCAATTTAATTCTGACATGATACATTCAGTGCTCTATATACAGTGCATTGAAAGGTATAATAGAAGCATATTGTGTAAGTGCCAAGAATCGAAAACTAACTACAATTTAATAAGAACTTACCTATGGACCAGGTTCTGTTCTATGCATTAACTTAGATAATCTTCACAATGGTCCTTTAAAATAAATCCTGTTATTGTTCCCATGTTATGAATGTTTATATTAAGTTTCACATATGCTAAGTGTCTCAGGTAATTAAATTGGCTGGGCCAGAATTAGAATGTAAGCTGATGTTATGGGCAATGTGAAATATGAGTAGTAAGTGTAATCTTCTAGCACATATTGTTCATGCCCTAGACCTGTTCTTGTCTTACCAGATTTGCATACAACATGGTATTGTAAAAAGTATGGAATTTCAAAAGCAAGTAAAAACATATCTCATGAAACATAATGACAGGGAAGTAAGTAATATAATTTTATAAAGACCAGAATAATTGTTAAAAATAGAAGAAAATAATATGTTTTGATATGGGAGAAAGGGAAACTTTTCTAGGGTAAGAGTACAGCCAATGAGCTAATACTTGAATAAAAATATGAATTGGTGAAAAAAGTGTGATCCTAAGCAAAGAATACCATGAAAAATTCATGAAGGCAAAGAGAGCAAATATTAGGTAGAAATATATTAAATTAATATTTTGTAAGTCAAAGATGACCAACTATTGGAAGTTTCATAAGTTTCAATTTAGCTATTTTATGAGACTATAATCATGATTTGACTTGAAAGATAATCAGGAAAATAAAGTAATCATTTGCCTGCTATTAATCATTATGCACTATATGTTTTTAAGAAAAAGAAATTGCACATGGGCCAGCTTACTAAAATATCATGCCAGATTAATTATCCTGAGTCAAAAATAAGCCCAACACTCACATTGACATTCGTCAAACTAAAAATATGGTTCTTATTAAACATGCAATTGATGGACAGGTAGTTTAAGATGCAACTCTTATACACAATGATTTAGAGCAAGCAATACATTTGTGTCTGTTTCCTCACCTTCATGGCAGATCACAATGAAACCCACTTCCAGAATTAGTCAATGAATAAATTGTCGAATAAGAATATAAACTATAAATTGCAACATGAACTTTAAGTCAATATACAAATACCAAGCATTAATTTATATACATTATCAATTTCCTTGAAATGCAGTTAATAAACAATGCTTCTCAATATAAAAATGTTAAACAAAAATTTACAGATGCAATAAATGAATACTTGGAAAGATTTTCTTAAATATCTGAGTTGCTTATTTAGTTATTCTAGGTAGGTATATGTGGTATCATACTAAAGATGCAAGTTGTCTCCTATTGCCAAGAAATTATTAACCAAAAATATGTATAAGACCATCACTTTTTATACTACTCTAATGAATAAATAATTTTAAATTACATGTTTTGACAAAATAAATCCATAAAACTAAAAAATATTGTTGAAACATCTGTTCAGAGACAAAATGCAAAATAATGCACTAATAGAATTAGAACCAACAAGAAAAATCTAGATTGTAGTATGCTTGTTTTCTTTCTTTGTTTAGCAAAATATTAGAAGAAAAATTTTGAAAAGCTCATTATAGCATAATATTTTAGATGTGTATAGAACTGGGATACTCTAAGTTTTCTAAAAGGACTTTTCACAAAGTTGCATTATATATATTAAAATGCCATAGACATCATAATTGTTTTGCCATTAAATTGTAGAAATCTATATAGTCAATAGAAAAATACACATTTCTAGATTTTTATCTCAATATGTATTTTCTAAGTTTCCTTTTTAAAGGTAATATTTCAAGTATGCTTTATAAAATTGACAGAAATTCAGCATGTATATGAAAAAAATATTAAATTGTAAAATATCTCATTTGTATCTTAAATGTATCCATTTAAGATGCATTTCATTAGTACTGACAGCATGCCAAGCAATCCTATGCCCTGGGGGTACAATGATGGATAAAGTCAGTCTCTGTCACCAATGTTCACATTCTAGTGGTATAGAAGACCAAGCAGAATTGCATACTTAAAAAGTACTGAGGGAGTGCAGAATACCTAAATTATATAATACAAGTTATAAACACCTAAAATACTTAATATTTAAACACTGTAGGGGGAGGTTAGAGAACCTGGTATTTATTCTGAATTTAGAAAGTCATACTGCAAAAGTGAGCAGGGGATACACTGTGGGTATATTAAAGAGTTTCAACTTCATACTGAGGGACACTCCCAGGTTCTAAGTTGGGAATGACATGATCATTACTTTTATTGGGATCTCATGGTTCCAGGGAAAGAACTGCATTTTAGAATGCTCCTTCTGAGGACATCCTTGGCGTAGGCCTGAAAATAGAGAATCTAGTCCACAAGCTATTATCACGATCCTAATGAGCAACTGCTTGCTAATCAAAATCTCTTTATGTGATATACAAAACAAAAACACAACAAAAAAAACCCTTACAATCTCAATTACAGAATGTGTTATTTTTAATGAGAAACAATATATAAATTACTGAACAGTGTTTATAAATTGAGGACGGTACAGTATGCTTCAAATAGAGTTACAGCTCCTGAGTCCCAGAATTTGCCTAAGGGTATGCTGAGCTTCACATGATGTGACAAAAGAAATGTTTTTTCACCATTTTCAAGAGAGCTATATATGCTGCTCACTATTTTCCATTCAGTAAAATCTGACTCTACTGAAAACTGCATGACTACAGACTTACCTAATAAATATAATTGATTTAT